AAAGTTAATGTCAGAATTCGAGTCCATTCAAATACTAGTAAATGCATTCGTTCTCATTTTCAATTCAGCTTTCGTGTTTACGAATTACAAACGATTGCACCTAATACTGTAACAGACGGTATATATCCAGCATGGTTACGTGTATGTTATTAGGCCTTAATTCGAGCGAAACGAACGAATGTTCACGAAGTTTCGAAAAATATTTCTATATATTGCAAAAAAAAACGCAAATGAGACTAAAATAAATGTTATACGACCATTATAAACTAGTGCTTGGATTGCAGGGCGGTTGTTGTCGATCTGCACCCTGCACAGTGTCCGATAGGGGCTCGGATTCGAGCGACACGAACGAATGTTCACAAAGTTTCGAATATTCCCATATAATATAGCAAAAAAAACGCAAATGAGACTAAAATAAATGTTATACGACCATTATACACTCGTGCTTGGGTTGCAGGGCGGTTGTTGAGTTACACGCCCAGCGCCGTATTCGGTAGGGGCTCTGAGGGTTAAATACGTCAACGCTTGTGTACACTGTGTCTTTATTTACACGCCGCGGTGACAGGCGAGTGGTACCTTCCATTCCAGTTGTGCCGCGATCAAAGTGAAAATAGTTGAAAACCTGTAATACTTACTGCGGGACACTAGGGACACCTCGCTTACAATGTTCAATAGTGTGTCGTCTTCAAGTTTGCCTGGATTGTATCCCTGTATTCCTCTGGGATCACTTGAGAACGTACCGTTAGTGTCATACTCTATAGCGTAATACACGGCAAATGCCAGTATAAATGGGTCTGGCGTTACGTCATCGTAGATCAATCCAAACAGCTGTATGTCAAAGTCTTCGATCATTGCCGAAAACCCGATCGCAAGTTTATCGAGTGGTGCGTACGTCCGCGTGAGTGTTTTGAACATGTCTTTGTTGCTGAGGTCCGGGTCCTCACTTGCCCCCGAAATAACTGGTAGGTTCCACTGGGCTGCCATGACGCCGATGATTTCCATCGGGTTCCAGCAAGCAGGGCCTAGGAACCCATGAATGTCCACGTTTCCGTATTCTTCCATGACGGCGATGACGGAGTCTATGCGATTGCACGCTGAGTCAGCCCATGTGACTTCAATACTATCCCCCGGCAATAGCCTCGTGTCATTGTTGACGTTCTCGACAGCGATGTCTATACCCGGTCTGATTTTCTGAGAATTGTAAGCACCTTCGGATGGTTCCGCGGAATCCTCTAGGAGAAGAAGCAAAGTGAAATCCTCGCCATAACACCACATCAGTTGTAAAACCAATATGGAAACCCCTAAAAGCTCACGCATCGTGACTCGGGTTGATGCGTATTCAAGGCAGCAATGTTATCAATAAGCTCCTCACTCTGGCTGGGTCGATGAGAAATACCCGTATTTGGTACAAGCTGCGAACTTTAGACTTGACAACGTAACGAGCTGTGAAGATAACGTCAACCTGCTAAGTACTGACGGCGACCTCGGCCGAAAGTGTATATATATAACGATACTGTTGAAATGCAACTGTTCAACGCGCTGGTATTGTGAAAAACGGGAGTCATCGAGGCGTGCAGTGCGCTGATAGACACAATAACATCGTTGCCTGCCATCGTCACCTGTTCGCTTATCAGATAGCGATTGGTGCTGATGACGCCATTCAACCAACTCACCTATCAACGGTTACTCATGGCGCCCATCCCTCTTTTCGACATAACAATCAGATTTAAATATTATAACTATCAGTTCTGCTCCTTTTAGCTGTCGTTTAATAGTGGGTGCTAAATTTCTGTTTCCGGTTTCGAAAATATTTTAAACATCACAGAAATGTTTAAATGCACGAGTTGTCATTGTTGTTCCTTTCAATGCTCGTAAAGCCACAATGTAGTTACGTGAGCAGAATTTATGAAAAAAGATCATCGCTGATATTAAATGTATTAATTTCAAGTCAGTTATTTTTAACAACTTGATTAAAGGTGTGTTGACGCATTCGCAGGATATTTGATTAAATAATGACGTTTGTTATTACTTTTTACACCAATTTGTTAACGGTGTCATCTGAGAGGTCAAAAATGATTACACGTTGCGGAGAACCGAACGTCTTGAAGCAAATTCCGCCATCGAGCACTTGTTGCGGTATTTCATTACGTATATATACGATATTAAGAACAGTTATCTAGATAACAATCTCGTTCATTGATGATGTAAGAGATTTTAAACCTAGAATGCAACACGACTTATTTTTTTTTAAATAAAAGTCACTGTAATTTGCACTCGTTGTATGAATGACATGAGAGACCCGTATGGAACACCACTCCCGCGATGACCATGAAACGTCAATGTAAATAACTCACCATACTAATGATAGGTTCAACATTATAAGCCAGAAAATACTAATACTTTACACTCCCAAGCTATATAACAGGATTATTTTGGGTGAGGCTAAAAACTCCGCAAAGCGTACATATAATAGTATACTAGTATATATATATAAAGTAAGAACCAACACTAAACAATAATCTGAAAAGTGTATGAACATACAAAATGAACATGGTAGAAGCACCTCAATGGTAGAAGCCACTGTAACATGTAACCATAGTAACCTGCGTTTTAACAAGCAGGCACAGTATGTCTATAATTTATATATAGATTTTAATTAACGTAATTTCTAAAGAGAATAGCATGTCAATTGAGGTGGCTTCAATCTGAGTTATAATTTTGATGAAAATCGTGGCTATGAGGGCTTGTAATGTATGTGTCATGTATATTGCCTCGTTGGGTGTTTATGCATATTAGTGACGTGTTATTAAAGACAACGGGGGTCTGAACCTATACCATAATTTACTCATATGGGGGTGTTTTACGTATATGTTATTCCGATCTATGAGTTATTTTCTTAGTGCCTTCTGTCTGCACGAGTTAAATTCATTAAGAATATTTTAATCAGTGTGAGAAGTACAGCAAAAACCGTCCCCAATTTACCAAATATACTGTGACCCAATGTAACGCCGTAAATATGGACGGGTGTGGACACCAGGTAGACTACTAGTATTTATTGAGTTGTAATCGTGTGTAAGCTGAAAAATGATTGAGTTGTTATGTATTAGTAATTGAGATAGAATAATACCTGTTTGTTTGACTACATCGAAATCACCAACTTCTTTCGTACATCTCCACTATTGTATATTCTGGTTGACAAAACAAGCCAGCGTATGAGTAGACTGGATAGTATTGCTCTTGTTTGTTTCGTATTTGTCTCACTTGATGAACATGTGTCATTAACCTTGTGTTAACAACTTCAATGAATAGTGAATTTACAAATTGTAGCGTGTATCAACGGCAGAGTTGGAGTCCTTTACGTGGGACAATAGTCTCGGGAGATATCGGTCACATCGGTCACCACTATCAAACACCATGTGTAAATGTACATAATACTCTCATTAACCTGCGGATGAAACCTCGTGAAATCTTGGTTCAGGTGCTCGCGTTTTACCGAGCCGACACCGGAAGATTAGCCGGCTATTTTGTATTGAAGGATTCACGTCTGTCTCAAAAAGACACAACCAAGGACTAGAGCGAAGCGTACCGTAATTACAATAACAAAGCTAGGGAGACAATAGACGCATATATCGATACTTTGTGGACGAAAGTAGCTGTGCGTGTTGGCACGTCTGTACACGTTTCCGTACTTATAGCGTTAATTGTTATATTGATTAGGTATACAAGAGATCCGCATGTACTTGAGAACTACGGAACACGGAACATGCGAGTACATGACCGTGTCTGTAAACCACCGATACAAGATTGCTGGCCACTTTTAGTGCCTTGTAGTTTTCGGGAGTTATCTACTCGAACAATTATGGAAAGTCGCTGACACGGCTACTAGAAATTTGATTGGCTATTTTCAGTAGGCGGTGTTCATTGCGTGTTCGGATTTTTGTAAAAACAATGTGCGTTATACGACTGTTGTATATACCGCATGGGATGATTATCTAACTGCACGCGGAGTTGCGACCACTCCCTTGAAAAAATGAGGGTCCAGGACATCATTCCTTCGAAAGTCAGAGTTATGGTTTATTATGTTTCCAACTACCACTAATGTTGTATAAATTAACGAAATCGTTGCATACAATCGTTTTATAAAAATACTATTTTAGGAGATCTAGAAAGTCAGAAAATCAGGTCGTTGACCAAACCTGATGCTTTACTCATTACATCGAAAACGTGTTTGTTGCTCTTAAGCGTCGTTCTCTTTCTCTGTAAAGTAGTGGGAATTAACAACACTGTATATGTATTTATTAGGTAAAATTAAGTAAACAGATGAAATAAATAAACGTATTTCGCATGTCAAGTTCAATTGTAATGTTCAAATGCAGCGTCTATGTTAAATGAATCATGCGCCTACAGATGTGTGAAATGACAACAGTGAAAATGCGCAACTTTACCTTTTTCGACGATATGGTTTTCGGCTAAGTGTCGTGAACCAAAATCAAAACTAATTCAATGGCGCGTGTCTGTGTACAGTGCGATTCACAGTAATCAACCTGCTACGCGATTTAAATCGAAATATATATATACTATTGCCAATTTTACTCATTACTGATAATTTACCATTTTTGTACAATTTTTTGTATTAATCAAAGGTTAAAATTAAATCAAATTAAATACCGAACAAACAATATCCACGATTAATCACAAAATACACTGAATACTAGGATTATTTTGGATTATGTTTAGCTCTGCCAGATTTGGAGAATTCCAGTGCAAACTGACGTCATGCGATAAACCATAACTGGGTAAAAACCCGCAACCGACCGGGTGTTAGCCCGTTGCTTGCTTACTCAGTGTAGATCCGTTAAGTTATAACCAGCTACTCACTAAACGTAAATATGTTACCTCCTGGGCATAAATCGGTTACTATCGGAATGTAAACCCGTTGCTTGCTGACTGATATAAGCCCGATACTTACTGAATGTAGACCCACTACTTACGTCGTGTAATCCGAATACTTACTGCGCAGAATCTGTTATTGTTTGAGTGTGAGCTCGTTACTGTTTTTGTGTGAACGTGATGTCTACTGAATGTAAACAACTTACGTGTTATTCAAGTTTACAGTGTGAAAACCTCTTGTCAACTGAATGTGAATCCGTTACTTACTGAGTTTGAACTAATACCTCTGGCGGATTCAGAAATTTAGTAAGGGGGCGCGCTCCTATTGACGTGGTCGAAGTAGACCACCGGTGGGCTGGGTTTGGAATTTTTTTTGCGGACTGAAGGGGGAAGCGGGCCAGGTGCGAATCCGCGCGTGAATACACACTGAGTGTAAACCTTGTACTTGAATGTGAACATGTTACCCACTTGATGAAAATCTCTTTCAAATTGAATGTAAATTACTTACGTATCGAGTCTAAACGCCCTATACCCAGTAAACGTGACCCTTATACACCCAAACTCGTTAATTGTTTTGTTGAATTTGAAGTCAAAAACCTGTTACTCTAAGTAATAATATCATCGTCATATTATTCACAGTTCCACACAAAATTCGGGTGAGTGATATAGTGAATTACGTGACGTGTAATTTATTTTCATAAGAGTTTTTGTTTCCCCAGTGTGAAATGTGCTAGATTGTTTCCCAGTCGAACCATTTTCCCTAGCGTAAGTCGTGTCACGTATATATTAAAATTTAATAGGGTATCCCTCAAAATACGTATCTCGCATGAGATTGGTCGTCTATTTCACCATATCTATAAGGATGTGCTGTATAGCTCCTGACTTGTTTATAGAAGTCCCGATGTTCCGAATAGCATTCAACACACTGCAGTATCAATAGAAAAAAAAATAATCAATTGAATAAAATTTGTGTCATCAACGTTGACAGGTAACACGATTTATGGTAGCTCCCTGTGGATATACGCTACGTATGCCACGGCGTGATGGGATAATTCGTATTGTTGTCACGAGAATTAGTAATCTCTTTATCAGTAGTATTGCGAACTGAAATGTAATCGAATTGTGCCATCTTGTATTCCCCGCTGTTCGATGAAATGAACCTAATACAGTTGGAATATTATCACGTGAAGTAAATTTCATTTTACCCGGAAAGGAACAACGTGATGTAAATAACAGTAGTTACATCGCGTAAAAAAATCCGAAGTTTAAAGCGCGGTAGTCGTCGCGCAGCGCGTGTTCGAATTTCATAGAAATAAACAATGTATTTTACACGCGTTGTGTACATCGCTATGAGTCCCATATTGAACAGGACGCGGCACGACGACTGCCGCCCTTTAACAATATAATGTTATTTTTAAAGCATCACC